CTTGTTGCAGCATAAGCAAATTCTACCAAGGATAGTCCATTGGGATTCGAAAATGAGGAGTTCTCAAGCTATCAGCCCTGGAAATATACCCAAAATCCAAAATCACAGCTTTTTCTCTCTAGCTTCTCATGGTAAGATACCAATCCCTTCACCCCATCTTTCTGTTCTTGTTCGTCCATTTCTGAGTTTGTTTTTGTGAAATGTTGGATTTGGGAAATGGGGTTGGTTCTTTCTCATGGTTGAGAGACGATGGTCAATCTTAGGGAAGGTTGAGCGACCACTTTAGGAGGCGCTGGTCAGGAGGACTAGGAGTAGAACGATGTCAAGGCTGCGATGGTGGGAATGGGGGATGGCAGGCGGCAGCGGTGGTGTTGGGGTCAAGACGGGTTGATTTGGGTTGGGTTAGTGGTTGAATTAGGTTGGTTTTGCAGAGGTCTGACGTGGCGGGTTAACAATGAGTGAATCAACAATTTTATTAACCACTTCAGCAAAATACTGACGGTATTAACGAAGACTAACAGTGATTAACGGAGAGTGACCAAACGTGAAATGTATAACCACTTTCAGTGACCACGAATGGAATAAAATACTTGTAATGACCAAACGTGAACTTTTAGCACTTCCAGTGACAAACCTTGCAATTTACCCTATGTATAATTGTTGAAAATTATAGCCTGGGTGAAAAAGAAAAACTCTAGAGCGAAGCAAAAGGAATACAAACTAGAACTCGCTTGAAATTCCACGCCTTCAACTCCTATAGTAGAAAATGATAACTTTCTAATAAGTAATAATCAAATATAGTTATGTTTAATTTGACTCGATATTGAGTTGAAAAAGTTAGTGATTCATGGTTCAATTATTAGTTCTCTAGATTGTTGGTGAGTCATGTACGGACCCGTTCATACTTGTGATTAAAATACATAAAAGTAGTATACTAATTAGGGTTAAATGAAGAAGGCAAAGAAAGAAATAAAGAAAGAATTATGGAAGGCGAGTGAAAAATGAAACGAAGAGTATGTACTAAATGAGTTTACAAATTCGCTTTTGCAATTTTTGAGTTGTCTCTCTTTTATCATTTATTTAATGTTTCACGTAATGAGCAAATATAAAATGGTTGAATCTTCTCGTACAGTTGAGTGAGACAACATCTTGTATGGTACAAACTAAATTTATACTTTTATGTTATGGTGGATTGGATTCATGAATTCAAGTGAAATATAAACAATGGACCAATATGTAAGTGAAATATAAATATTGGACCAATATGTAAATTTTAAAAATGTAGGTACGGAAATCTCATAAAATTTAGATACCAAAACATAATTGTTCAATGATTTTACATTAAAATTAAATTTGGGGTATCAAAATATAAAATGTAAAAATTGACTAAGTTGTAATTTATTATGCAACATTAACTCTACTTCAACTTTAAATTTTAAAAATTGTAGGTACGAAAATCTCATAAAATTTAGATACCAAAACATAATTGTTCAATAATTCTACTTTAAAATCAAATTTGGAGTATCAAAATGTAAAGGCAAAATATACATCTTCATAGCCATAACTATACACTTTGTGACAATAATAGCCAATTTTTGAAAAATACACTAATATAGCCACATTTTTTAAATTACTTTGACAAATTTAGCCATTTCCGTTAAATATTTTAACACCATCAAGAACACAGTTAAAAAGGTTAACCGCAAGTTGACTTTGACGCCACATCAGTGCCAGATCCTTATATAATTTCCACGTCCAAAAATAAAAATAATAAAACTTCTCCCTCTCTCTCATATCTCCAGCCAGATCTACGATGCAGCCCCACCGTTGTGGTTTGTTCTTCTCGTAGAAGTCGTCCGCCTCAGCTACCACAACCGTTGCTATACCACCAACGCGCTGTACACATCCTCTAAGCCCGACCAAGGCGCCAAAATCGGCCTCGGCTCCTCCGGTCCTCCTTCAATTTCTTTTCCCTGATAACCTTTCATCTTCCAGTGCGTCCGATATCCACCTCCATCCTCCAATACCTTTGCAAATCTCTCCCTCTCGCTCTCCCTGTGCCGCCTTAGCCGAAGGAGGCACAATAGGATTACAACGTCCTCTACTTCCCAGTCGACGAGAAGGAGCGAAGGGAGCAAGTAGCATCGAAGGCAGCTGGCGACGAGAGGAAGCAGGGGAAGGTCGACGTTGTCGTCAGCCTTATTCAACGACGACGGGTGACCATTCCAAAGGTCTTGACGGTGGCGAATTTTGAAATCCCCAATCTTGGAACCCTAACCTTTATGTCGATAAATCCCTCATTTGCCAATTAGAATCACTTCGATTGTGTCTATGGTTCGAGTTCGCGTAACGATTGCTGAAAAATCGACCTCCGATGGCAGTGCCGGTCTCCCGAGCTTTTCATCTCCCTCCCCGACGGCGGAGCCGGTCTCTCGAGTATAGGTGTCAAAACATAGCCCGACCCGATTAACCCGCCCGATCAACCCGACCCGCAACCCGACCGCAAACCCGAATTGACTAAAAGTCAACAACCCGTAACCCGCCCGACCCGCAACCCGATTGACCCGCAACCCAACTAACCCGCAACCCGACTAACCCGCAACCCGATTAACCCGAACACGATTGACGCGCAACCCGACTGACCCGCAACCCGATTAACCCGAACTCGATTGACCCGAACCCGACTAACCCGTAACCCGACCGACTCAACCCGAATTTAATCTAATCCACTTGAATTATTATAAAAATATACAATACATAGTTTTTCAAAATAAAGTTTTTCATTCTATACTTAAGTAAAATTATTTTTTAATTTCGTATAAGAAATTTTAAAAATATGAAACTCACTTGATATTACATTTTTTAAGAAAATTACAAAAATTGAAACATGAAGGTCACTTGAGATCATGACAATATTAATATAATATATAAATTAAAATTTTGGTTAATTCAACTATTCAATAAAATTATCAATTAAATATAAATAAAGTAAAGTAATGTATTTAATAATTTGATGTTTTTAAAAGAAGAGGAAAATTTTGGTGTATTCAAGTTTTTGGGAAGAGAAAGAAGAGGGAAATTTGGTTCTTTGAATTTTTTAGAAAAGAAACAAGTGGGAATTTTGGTGGTTTTGATATGTGGGAAGAGAAAAAATGTGGGAAAGTTTGATTCTTTTGATTATGAAAGAGAAATAAGGAGGGAAACTTTTGACTTTTCAACTTTTTGTAGAAGGAAAGAAGAGGGTAATTTGGTTCTTTCAATTTTATGGAAGAGAAAGAGGAGGGAACATGGAGTTTTTCTAATGTATGGAAGGAGAAAAAAGGAGAGAAATTTTAGTATTTTTGTGAAAAGAAAGAAGGAAACAAATTTGGTGTTTTCAATTTTTTGGTTTTTCATAATTTTAGCTATTGAAATATGAATCTTTAACTTTTATATGGAGGGCATGACTAGTTAAAATTATTCTTATATGCTTTGAAGGCTAATATGTATATATATGTAATTTTTTATGGGGCTAATAAATAAATTAACCATTAGTTACAACAATTTGTACTAAACTTGATAAGTAATCTTTGACGGTTCGTTGTTTAGGATATAAAGTATATGGTTAGGGTATAAGGTATAAGGTACATATGATTTAGGGTGTATATGGTTAGGGTATAAGATATTGTTTGTTTTGACGGTTCTAAGTTTTTTATTAACATATGTTCACTTGAAGTCATTTGAAGTCTTTAACGGCAGGAGATCCCTTTTTAATTTATGTTTATGGTACGTGGTTAGAGTACAAGGTATGTGGTGTAAAGTATAGGATATATGGTTAGGGTATAACAATTAGCAAATATCACTTCTTATCTATGTTTTGAAAATCAAATTATGAATTTCACTTTTAATTTAACTATACTAGCAAAATCACAACTCAAGGACATATGGTAAGGGTATAGGTTATGTGGTTAGTGTATAATATATTGATGGTTTAGGGTATACAATCAACAACATATACTAACTTAATATTGTTGATTGAGGGTAAAGCTAAGTGTATAGGATATATGCTATTGAGTAAGTTATGATTGAAGTCACAATAATTTTACTAAATTTGATAGCTAATCTTTAATGGTTCAATTTTTAGGATAATTCGAACAATTTTACAAATAACTCGTTTGACAACAGTTTACTAAAGTTATTTGGGCAATGAGTTATTTTGAAATAACTCCTTTTATCACTATGCTTTTGCCAAATACCACACACCAAATACCAGATTTGCATGATTATACTAAACGAGATACTTTAATCCAATTACTACTGAATTAATACTAAAATATCAAATAAACAATTAATGGTGTCTTTTGGTTGCAAATATTGATATCACCATTACTATTAGCTATAATACTTTACCAATTATGATTAATTACATAACAAGTTTGCAAGTCATACAAATTGATTTAACATTTTGACTAGTTTTTTTCAAAAAAATAAAGTATATATATACGAGGTAGAAATAAATTGGTTAAAAAGTTGAGAAAATATTTTAAATTAGTGTAATAAAATGTGTAAGTTGGTAATGAGTAATGAGTAAAGTTACTTAATGCGCTGGCCCGAACAACCCGAAACCCGACCCGCCCGCAACCCGCCCGACCCAAAACCCGATGAACCCGCAACCCGACCCGCACCCCGTGATAAATTACCCGACCTGGCCCGACCTGCCATGGGGCGGGTATGGGTATCGAGATACCCGCCCCAGACCTGCCCCATTGCCATTCCTATCTGAGAGGTTATTGCCCTGTCGTCGAATGAGAAGAAATCTCGACCCGAACCGGGAACAAAACAATCATGTTTATCAAAAGAAGGTAAATCTGTTGTTTCACATTGGCAATTAGTATAAAAATGAGCTACACGTACTAGTTTTCACTATCTAGAAACTCATTCTCACAGCCCCAGTGAGCAGGACATGATAATTTCCTGAACACCCATATGAAAAACATTTGACAGAAAACAGGAGAGAATGATCAACCAGACCAACCGACAGTCTTATTAGTTGTGAAACCAAGCACAGAAGAAGGATCAGCAGGGGACTGAGGAGGTGGTGGTGGTCTAGACTCCCTCGGCTTTGCTGGGTCCACAAATATAACCCATCCGTCTAAAAACTTGGCATTCATTTCTTCTTTAGCTTTCTCGGCCTCCTCTATCGTCTCATATGTCACGAAAGCAAAACCCTTCGATCTCCCGGTAGGTCTATCCATGATCACTTTAGCTGGAGAAAACAATTGGGGAACTGAAGTTAGGAACCGAGTGTTAACAAGGCATCAAATTATTGACAAGCAGAAGAGTAGAATAAGAGATGCTGCTCCATCAAACCTTCAACGACTCGCCCAAAAGGAGCAAATGCCTGCTTAAGCTTCTCATCTGTAGTTAATCTTGAGAGCCCTATTGTTATACACAACACAAGAATAATGGAAAGTATTAACTTGAGTTCAGAAGACCATACTGTTTACAGTCTAAGAACAATTTGAACCTGGTTTCATTCAATGGTACAATCTTTAGACAAACAGTTAAAGTACTCTGCGCCATACTTAAAAGAAATTTGTGATAGTCTCTTTCTATGAAACAAAACTACCATTAAACACTTCATAATACTGTAACCCTGAAGATTGGTCAATGTTGAGACCTTAATGTAAACAGTACTGTGTAGGCTCTTGATAATTTCAGAAACTTCAGCAAGGAAGTTTACTTATGAACAAGCATAAAGTATTAGCACAAGATAGAAAAGAATCCCGGCGGAAGAGTAGAGCAATTCCTTACAAAACAACAGAGAAGATTGACTCTGAACAAAACCTAGCTCACAAATCTCCCCTCAGGGGGAAAGACTAGTTTAGGGCGAATAGGATTCAACCCAGGAAAGTACCATGTTTAACTGATCCGGCTTCTAGCTAAGCAGCAGAATAGGCGATGTTCATACTCTTAAATGTTATGTATCTAGCAATGACATATATAGCAATCATCTGGGCAGTATATGTTACGAAACGAAGAATTAGGTGCAAAGAACTTAGACCGATCAAAGAAAATATGTGCGAGCGGATGTAATCACTGAAGAAAACACAGCAATGGCCAGTAAAGCACAAGGCTTTTCTAGGGTTTTCTCAAAACACAAACAGACGAGAGGGGGAAATAGGAAGGAGACGCTGTCAGGCAGGTAGAATGGGGAGATGTACCGCTTACGAAGAGCTTGGGAGAAGTTAGAGTCCCATAGAGACGCGTGGAACCGAATCGACTTCCGATAATTGACGGTGACGAAAACGATCCGGCCAGCACCCGGTGGAACATGGACACAAAAGCCATTGCGAGAAAAGAATGCGCGGTAGCTGGGGAACGACGGACGAGCTAGAGAGGAGAGAGAGGGAGAGAGCGGAGGTGTGTGAGGGTTTTATCAAGGGTTTAGCTTTCCTACCGAAACACCGTAGTTTAGTTATTCTACTAACAAGATAAGTTGTTAGTATATAACTATGGGGTCGTTTGCTTCAAGAATTTGGTACATGGATTTGGTATAAAAAAACCAACTATCAAGGATTTAGGTACAATCCGTTGTTTGCTTGCACCTTTTTTGGAGACCAAATCCGTAGGGCCCACGGATTTTGAGGGTCCAAATCCGTGGACCCCACGGACTTATAAATCCCACATGTTGATGTGGGATTTGGAATTTGGCATAAATCATTGATGAGATTTTACCCATATACCCTCATGCACTTTTAATATTCCAAGGTTGCCCTCAAATTTAACTATTATACATTATAATTAACAATAAATGAATAATATAAACGTTCAATTAATGTGCAAACATGAGTTAGATTTTATATATCATTTCTTGTGTTCTAGTTTTCTTTGACCTTTTCATGGAACGTGTAATTCTTTGGTCTCCCGATTCTAATATATGTTGTTATATGTTACTTTTGAAAAGGAGGACAAAGAATTGGTAATTGATTATGTTACGTTAAAAGTTAAAACGGAATTTTCTCGTTTATTATTATTGTCCATGTGGCAACATTATGCTTATTAGTATGTATTGACCTTGTTTTGTGTACATATCATAAACATGTCAAACATATAGAAAATGGCAGTAATGTAATTTTTGACTTCAAGTAGTAAATCCCACACCTTTAAATCCATGATAAAAACATCCCAACAAACAAAGGATTGTTACAAATCCATGATGTCTCAAATCCTTGATAAATCCTTGGGTTTTTAAATTACAAAACCCTCATTTTTAAATCCATGAAACAAACGACCCCTATATATCAAGGTTGTCAATCCGCAGATCGATCCGGATTGGCCCGGACCCGCCCTTAAAAATAGGCTATATCAACCCAAATCACTTTCAGTCTGGAATTGATCAAACCTGCTGAAACCCGGTCAAATCTAGTGGAACTCAGACGGTTAGCCCGACCAGTCGGGTCAGCAGGCTATTCATTCTACTGGAAGTTTTTACTTGTGCGGCGACCGTCCCTTCGGCTGGTGATTCGTGAACAAGGTTCAAGTTTGTTTATTTATTGTTTGCTTGGAGATTCATAATATGTGATGGATTTAAGTGTTGTTCAATTTTTATTATATTGAATTTGAGTTGATGTTATTTAAGGGTGTTGAATTTTAAGTAGTGTTGCATTTTCCTATGTTGGAATTAGGATAAGTATAATATAATGACTCTTTTCATATTTATGGGCTAAACCAGGCTAAGTCGGGTGACTCATTAACCCATGACCCACTATCTCGATCGGATCCGGGTCAACCCGCGGGTTGACAACCTTGGTATATAGAATAATAGGGTGGGATTGCTATCCACGTAGTCGAGCCGGGATCTGAGAGTGAGGAGGGGCACCAGTATGTGAGAGGAAGCAGGGACGGACCAGCTCGGCTACACCAAGCCCCCTTCCACCTGTCAAGAAAAGTGTGGCCACGTTTTTCAAATTTCACTCACTTTCTCAATAAAACCACTTTTTCACCTCTATTCGCTATTTTGTTCATCTCTTTCCTCTCTCCAAAATTCAAAAAAGCTTCCTCTTCCTTACCTCCCCCTATAACGAAACCCTCTCACCACCACATAATCTCTTCAGCGACGGTGGCTTTCACGGCAACGACAACCACGATGACTTTAAGGACACCAACACGACAGTGAAGGCAGATTCGACTACTGTAGTCGTTCACTAACAAAGAAAAAGAAGACGACTGGCGTCTTTGAGGTAGGCGTCTTACCCTTCTCATTCCTTGGTTTATGGATACGAATGTTGATTTACGGTTTCATGGATTCGTCTAGATCTGAGTTTTTTTTTTTTGATTTGTTTTTTGGATCTGAGATTCGTCGTTGGGGTTCTGGGATTCTTGTCGGGGAATGTGAGATTCGCTTTCTATGCCTTGGAATTCGATTTGGGGGATCTAGCATTCAATTTGGGGGATCTAGGATTCTTTCGATTTGGGGGATCTGGGATTTTTTGTGGTTGGAATCTGGGATTCGATTTGGGGGATCTGAGATTCTTTCGATTTGGGAGACCTGGGATTTTCTATGGCTGGGATTCGATTTGGGAGATCCGGGATTCTTGTTGACCTGGGATATTATTTAGCAGGTATGGGATATCGGTTTGTTGGATGTCGATATTGTTTGGCGGTTCTGGATTTTGCTCGTTAATTTGGTAGTTTGTTGACCTGTGATATTATTTAGCAGGTCTGAGATATCGATTTGTTGAATGTTGATATTGTTTGGGGGGTTCTGAGTCTTGCTCGTTAATATGGTAGTTTGTTGACCTTTGATATTATTTAGTATGCTTGGGATAATAGTTTCTTGAATTGGATTTTGTTTGGGGGTTCTCAGTTTTGCTCGTAATATGGTAGTTTGTTGGCCTGAGATATTATTTAGCATGCCTGGCATACCAGTTTGTTGAATGTCGATATTTAGCATGCCTGTGATACATGAATATTTTTATGCTAGGTCTGGATGTTTGTATGTCATGTATGGATATTAGTTTGGGCTGTGCATATGCCTAATGTTTTCTTTTCATGTATTTCAGGAATTTCGCAAGATGACAAGATCCAAAAGGTGTTCGTTTCTAGATTTTGACAACCTTGACCTAAACCAAGTACATAGATATTGTCTTTACTACTTAAGTGACATGCTTGCATATAGTAAACTAAATTATATATTTTACAACATATGTAGCTTGTGGCAATGAAGTCAATGGTTGAGACCATTAGTTTAGGAGGAATTTTACAATGCTATATAGCATTGGTGCTATAGGTTTTTACCTTTATGGTACAACTTGAAATTGTACCTTTAATGTTATGGTACAACTTCAGATTGTACCTATACTTTTTGTACAAATTCTTTTATGATACAACTTAAACTTGTACCTTATGTGATGGTACAACTTCAAGTTGTAAAGTTGTACCATAACATAATGATACAAATTCCTTTATGGTACAACCTAAACTTGTACATTTAATGTTATGGTACAACTTCAAGTTGTACATTAAAGCACCAATACTATATAGCATAGTAGAAGTGCTCTTAGTTTAGAGCTTAGAAATTAATTTATTGTTTTGTGTAGAACACAATGTATGGTTGAGAGCATGATACTTAGAAATTAATTTATTGTTTTGTGTAGAACACAATGTATGGTTGAGAGCATGATCGGACACAAAACAATAAATTAATTTCTAAGCTCTAAACCCTAAATTGGTTTAATCAATTTTTGATGGTATAAATTCAGTAGACAAACATCCACATAAAACAAATATCCAAACTACCCAGACTAATATCCAACCGTCACAAACTAATATATGTTCACTCTCCTACTATTATTGTTTCATGGGCTTTCGGCGGGCAACCCTAACTAAGGTTGCAAGTCTTGTATGTTAGGACTTGATAGTGAGTTTAATTTTGATGAAAGACACAATATCCATTACTTCACAACCTAATATCTATCGCATATAATTTCAGTTCATGCAAAAATAAATACTCATACCGCCCAGACTAATATTCGACCAAATAAACTAATTTCCTTCGGACCATGGATAATATTTTGGGTAAGGATGGATACTAGATTGGGCAATATGAATATTAATCCGGGTTGATTTCTCTCTCCCATGTGAGAATAGTTGGTGGGTGGCATTAAATGCCCAACATCTCTCCCATGTGAAAATTCATCAAAAGTAACAAAAGTAACAGGTGGTGGGCCATGTTTTTCTCTCTTTTTTGTCAACTCACATGAATATTAGTTCGTGCACTTTTGAATATTTATTTGTCTTTGCTGGATACAAGTTATCTCAGTGGCTCCCTCTCCCAAATCCCGCCCAAATTAAAGGTGGACCTAAGCCACCTTGTTCAGCTCTGTCGGCTGGGCAAACTTGTGCCAAAAAGCCCAAAATAGCTCACTTAAATGAGCCACGACTGGGGCGATCTCCTCACCCTTGGATTAAAGTTGGGCTGACGTGGCCATCATTTGGGCTGTGTTAGTATCTGCTAACGAATCTTCAAGTTAGCAGATTAATTTTTTCGGAAACACCGACCCTTTGGAGGGGATCCGGATACGGTGGATAACCCATGGTTATGCACCCATCAATGATTGATTCTGTCGCGGTGAGCAACCCATTCTCAGCTCTTCCCTTTTCGGGCTATGCCCCAGTGGTTTCGATCCGGCCGCTGCTATGCTTATCTCGTTAGAGTTTCTAATGTTGTAAATCTACAAACCTCAACAAATTGGAGGACCATACCGGCGACTTAACTCTCTTCCTTGTTAGATCTTAGCCTCGTCATCTCTCTACGTTCAGTGGTGTTACATAGAGAAGCAACATGACTTTGTGAATTGTTACATATATGTAATAGTACTTTTCATATCTGTAATACTATTTTTTTCATTTTGTGGTAACGATTCTCAATGGCAATGTTTATAGTAGTAGAGATTTTACAGATTTGATAAAAGATTTATGATGTCATAGTGGTTTTTGGATAAGTATTTCTTTTAAGGTCTGTGATGATGGCTAATCACTACACAGAAAATGTAAAGCAAAATTCATCATAACTACTAATGATAATTAAATCACTACGATAAAAGTTCTAAATCACTACTGATGATAGTTAAATCACTACAAGAAAATTTAAAATTGCTAAAATAACCATGAAAATCACTACTAATATTATTAATAGTTATTAGTGGTGTTACATAGAGAAGCAACATGACTTTGTGAATTGTTACATATATGTAATAGTACTTTTCATATCTGTAATACTATTTTTTCATTTCGTGGTAACGATTCTCAATGGCAATGTTTATAGTAGTAGAGATTTTACAGATTTGATAAAAGATTTATGATGTCGTAGTGGTTTTTGGATAAGTATTTCTTTCAAGATCTGTGATGATGGCTAATCACTACACAGAAAATGTAAAGCAAAATTCATCATAACTACTAATGATAAATAAATCACTACGATAAAAGTTCTAAATCACTACTGATGATAGTTAAATCACTACAAGAAAATTTAAAATCGCTAAAATAACCATCAAAATCACTACTAATATAATTAATAGTTTTTTTTATGAACGTAGTAGTAATTTTTTCACTTAAAAAATATTTGTCAAAAAGAAGAGAGTTATTCAAAATTTAATTAATTAATTTTTATTCATTAATTTATTTATTTTTAATTATTAAATTACTTTATTGATACACATAATATACCCCTCATTACTCTACACCATCAAGTTTAACTTCAAATTAATCAACGGTGATTACAATGGTTAGCATGGTGCTAATTGGTAACTCCCAAAACATGCCAGATGGAAATATATTGCCTTCTAATAAAAAGATAGGAAAAATCTCCCTCTCCATCTCCCTCGTCTTCCACACCACCGACCAATTTCCTTCTTCCTCCTCCTTTTCTTCTCCGATTCTTCTTGTCTGGCTCTTCAATTTGACTAGATAATTTGTCGAAAATTCCAAATATGAGATGTCGAGAGTCATTGTGGCAAAGAAACCTAATTACCTCTGCTCCCAATCCCATATCTCTACCGCCGTGAAATCCACCATCTCCTACACCATTGCACGCTCCTTCCCTTCTGTCTCTGACACCCTCTCCTCCACCAGCTGTCGTCGCCGCTTCTCCACCCTTTTCGTCAGCCTTTTTGGCACCGTCTCCTTCGACGTTGTCGTTAAATGTGGCATCGCGCTAGTTCATCTCCTCTTCTCCAACATCTTCATCACTTTTCCGATCTAAGATTAAGAAATCTCTGGAGCTTCCAAAATAGAGGAACAAGGAAGGTGAACCTCGAGAAGCAAGTCTTCACCGCATCGAGAGAGCAAAAGATATGTAAAGAGGTTTTATTGATGAAGCTCTAGTTATGATCTCTCCAATACGCTGGGTTGAAGATGCATAGACGAGGGACAGGAACAATCTGCCATTCCATAGCAGGTCCCCGATATAACTTAGCCGCTTCTCGACTACGGGTTTTCATTGAGTGAACCAGGTGGTCGACGGTAACGCCCAGATTAGATATGGGAATGATAATTTTTTTTCAGATTTGGAACAATTAAAACTTCGCAGACAATAACTGAGGGAATGGTCACCGATCAGAAAATGGGGTTTTCTATCTAAAATTGTGGGAATGAAATAGAATGGAGGGCTTTTATGGGTGTAACGTAGGTATGAACAAAGGATAAATTGGTTTGGAGGCATTTAGAAATCAAGTTGGATTTGGGTTTCTGAGGGAGAGGCAACAGTTTGAATCCAACCCTAGAATTTCCCTTTTGAATCTACATCGATGGGGAAAGCTATGAAGCGATGAGGATACAAGCGGCGGGCGGTGCAGGAGTTGGTGGATGGGGAAGGGTTCGCGACGTGGTGGTGGTGAGGGAATATTTTTGGGAGATTTTTGTTTTGTTTTTTTAAAGGTTTTTAGGGTGCTTACATGGCATCCATGTGGTATCTACGTAGCAAGTCAGGTCTAGCAATTGCTGACGTGTATGTTGAGGTGATTTTTTTTACAAAGTGATTTTTTATTAAATTATTATTATATTGATTTTTATTGTATATGTGGCATCCATGTTAGCAAAGTATGCTAATTCACTAATGGTCAATATCGTTGGCTGTCTAATTTGACGGAAATTCATGAGTTGGGTCAAATTAGTCTATATGGTGTATAATTGAGGTCAGGATAGTAATTTCTAAAATCACTGGCCAAATTTGATTACTTGAGTATAGTTCGGGGCAAAATAAGGTATTAATCTTGATAAGCTCCAATCCTCGAGCTTCTTGATCAACGTCGGGCAGCCTAGAGAATTCTCAATACTGAATTCCGATGGAAGCCAAAACAGAGGTTGAGGTAAGATGGATGTCGAACGTGCAACTTCTCGCCAAGAATTGGGAAGAGGCTCGATCGAACTAACGTCGCAACTCGTCCACGATCGAGGTGATGATCGACCGATGCTGAGCTCGCTTGTTCGGTGGATTCAATTCCACACAACCAAGGACAATTCACGAGAATGACTCGATGAACACAAAAAGCTGATTTGATTAGAACGTGGGTTTAATTACAGCACAATTAAAGCTTAAATAGAACCTAGCTAAGCTCGTGAACAAGGGAAATCGTCATAAACCTATTACAACTCGAAAACCTAAGCTGAAACACAAAAGGAAATAGCATTCCGAGACACTTACGGAAAGAAACTCTTTTCTGCAGCTCCACGTCACCAACAGCCTGGATGCAACCTTTGAGGCCTTCGACTGATGAATTCCAAGAGCACTTTCAATCATCCAACGCCTCTTCTCTGTAGATTAAAGTGCATAGATTCATGGGGTATGAAGCCCCTAACTCGAAGCTCAATCACCCGTCTGGAATAGCACGTCAAAGTAGCCTCTCTGGACTCGGTTTTACACTTAGGCAGATTCAGCCTGTTTTCCTGTGTCGAGATCCCCTTTTGTCGAGCCTGAAAATGGACCTTCCAAGTTTCCCCTTGAACTACCAAGCCCTCCAGCACATAGACGAGCACTTGAAGTTCAAAAATCACTTCCAAACTCTCCATTCCATCGCTCCAATGAGAAGAACCGAGCTCGCAAAGTACCCTTCCTGAACTCGTCAAAAGACTTAGCCAAAATTCCATACTGTTCAAACAATTTGGGTTACCTTCTCGAGCAAGAAATTCCAGCTTGGTGAGGAGGCAATCCAGGGTTGTATCAGGCCCTCCCTCTTCAAAAAGCTTTGTCCTAAAAGCTGGTTCCTTCCGCTTCTCAAATCTTGCACAAAATTGACCCCAAATCGTGTCGAAAGTTGGCCTCTTGAACTGGCGAATCTGGAAAATTGGGGTGGTGTTCTTCAGGACATCAATTGGGAATTTTTGATTGAGGCCGTACCAATCTAATTCACTGCCTTCACAAGCTTTGCGGGACTCACAATCGAACATCTGTATCCTGCCCATGCCTCGACCCAACTTCAGCATCGTCGAATCGTCACTTTCCTCGTTCCCGCCCAAAGCCGAGTTCAAATGAGCTTATCCCCAAAGATCTGAATTCGATTTAGGCGTTTCTTCTTCAGGGATCTTCGAGCGCAATTGAAGCTTTCTACAGCTTCAGACTTCATGGCCAAATGGTTCTGCATCGTTGGTTGGCGACGATTCACCCCAAGCTGCTCCAACCCATTCGGTCGAATTCTGCTCGTACAGGAGCGTTTGCAGAGGTGATTGGGCCCGATTGGGATGTTGAGTTTGAGTAGAAATCGAGCTAATCCAATCGGTGGAAGAGCTTCCTTGACCCTCAAGGAGTGTGCTAGCACCTTTGACGGAGTTCGAATTGCCCTGGTGAACTCCACCCAATTCATTCTCCCTCCTCCCCTGCGCTGGCAACGAACGACAGGGACGACGGCGGCGAGACGTCCTCTCTCTTTTGTACCCGGTGAGCATAAAGCGTCGGATGAGAAGGGAACCTCCAAGGTGAACCTCGGAATTCGTTGCAATGAATTCCCCTTTCAGTCTTCGTCGTCCAGCTTCGAGCTGCTCTTGATCTTCACGAACTTCCGCCGGAGTTAACGGCTTCAGTAAGAACTTCTTCCCGCCATGTCAAACCTTGTAACAATTTGTTCCCCCGTAGTGGCAGACGCCTCTATCAAACTGCCAAGGTCGACCAAGAAGAAGATGAGTAGCTTGCATAGGGGCAACGTCAAACAGCATCTCATCCTTGTAATCGCCGAGTTCAAATTTTACGAGAGCTTGTCGTTGAACTTTGATTGCGCCGTAGTCGTTAAGCAAGTGCAAATTATATGGTGCTGGATGTCGACTTGTGTTCAGTCCCAAGCGCTTAACAACGTCCTGGCTAACAACGTTAGCGCAGCTACCGCCATCGACGATTACAGAAAGTAGTTGTCCCTCGACCAAACATCTTGATTGAAAGAGGTTCTCCCTTTGGTCTGTTTCGGGTTGATGAGTCGGCGTGAGCGCCCTCCGGCTGACTGCGAATAACTTGCCTGGTGGTGGAGCAATTTCAGCTTGAATTTCCTCTTCGATCTCGTCTCCATCAGAGTCAATTACAAGTTTTGCCGGAGTTTCCTCATCATCTTCAGAATAGTATTCCCCGTCTCTGAGCACGAGCGTTTTCCGATTCGGACATTGATTCGCCTTGTGCCCGCGCCCAAAACACTTGGAACACAGAATTTGTGCATTGGAACCTTCGTTTTTGGCTAGCTGGCTTTTAGCAGTTGTCCTTTCGCCCTCGGGTCGAGCTGGATTCCCCTGAGTTCCTGGAGCAGCGCCAAGATTGGCTTTGCTTCCCGGTGGGATTCTGCGATTGGCTGGGAGTTTCAGCTGCTTCTCCACCTTGATCGCTAAGTGCATAGCATCCTCCAACTCGACAAACGATCGAAGTTCAACTTCATTTCGAATTTCTCTGTTTAACCCGTGTAAGAACCTGGCAACTGTAGCTTCCCTGTCCTCGCGGACATCAGCTCTCATTAAGAGCAACTCAAGCTCTTTGTAGTACTCGCCAACAGAGCGAGAACCCTGCCGAATTCCTTGCAAGGAATCGAAGAGATCCCTCTGATAATATTCGGGAACAAAGCGGTCCCTCAATAGTCCTCGCAACTCGTTCCATGTCGCGATAGCAAGTTGAAGGTTTCTTCTTCGCCGTAGCTGCATCTTTGCCCACCACAACGCAGCATACTCCGTAAATTCATAAGTCGCAAGCGAGACCTTCTGGGATTCAGTGTAATTGCCACATTGGAAGAAAAGGGTGATTTTCCTCTCCCAATCTAGGTAAGATGAGACATCGTTGGAACCTGGAAAGGATGGAATTGACAACTTTATACCCTTGAGCTCGGCAATGGTTTCCTCTGGCTTTGCCTCCCGGCGAATTTCCCGGTAATCGCCACGATCTTGGAAGCGGTGCTCATTATCGTGGTCAACCACCACTATACGATGTTCCAGTTCCTGAAGTCGCGCCAACAATGCTTGATTCGTCTCGTCTCGATGCGCCTCTGGCTGAGTTCTGCGATTGCCGTCGTGTTCTGCAAAATTTCTCGGCGGAACAGGGGCCTGCACTGTCGTGCGTAATTCGGCCAATTGTTTTTGGATTTGGTCGAATTGCGTCTGGAACGTCGCTACAATCGACTGCAATAGATCAGAATTGTTGATGGTTGGGTCCCCCATCACTCGATCTTCACTCGGAGTTGCCTCCTCGTATTCAGACGTGCTCCCTGTTTCAGGACGTCGAACTGCAGGGTCGCTGTCTACAGAACCCTTCGATCTTGTCCTGGGCGCAGTGCTGGCTACGTTCTGCTTCGTGCTGGCCACTGTGTTTGAACCTAAGGCTCTGATGCCACTTGATAAGCTCCAATCCTCGAGCTTCTTGATCAACGTCGGGCAGCCTAGAGAATTCTCAATACTGAATTCCGATGGAAGCCAAAACAGAGGTTGAGGTAAGATGGATGTCGAACGTGCAACTTCTCGCCAAGAATTGGGAAGAGGCTCGATCGAACTAATGTCGCAACTCGTCCATGATCGAGGTGATGATAGACCGATGCTGAGCTCGCTTGTTTAGTGGATTCAATTCCACACAACCAAGGACAATTCACGAGAATGACTCGATGAACACAAAAGGCTGATTTGATTAAAACGTGGGTTCAATTACAGCACAACTAAAGCTTAAATAGAACCTAGCTAACCTCGTGAACAAGGGAAATCGTCATAAACCTATTACAACTCGAAAACCTAAGCTGAAACACAAAAGGAAATAGCAATCCGAGACACTTAAGGAAAGAAACTCTTTTCTGCAGCTCCACGTCACCAACAGCCTGGATGCAACCTTTGAGGCCTTCGACTGATGACTTCCAGGAGCACTTTCAATCATCCAACGCCTCTTCTCTGTAGATTAAAGTGCATAGATTCATGGGGTATGAAGCCCCTAACTCGAAGCTCAATCACCCGTCTGGAATAGCACTTCAAAGTAGCCTCTCTGGACTCGGTTTTACACTTAGGCAGATTCAACCTGTTTTCCTGTGTCGAGATCCCCTTTTGTCGAGCCTGAAAATGGACCTTCCTAGTTTCCCCTTGAACTACCAAGCCCTCCCGCACATAGACGAGCACTTGAAGTTCAAAAATCACTTCAAAACGCTCCATTCCATCGCTCCAATGAGAAGAACCGAGCTCGCAAAGTACCCTTCCTGAACTCGTCAAAAGACTTGGCCAAAATTCCATAATGTTCAAACAATTTGGTTTACCTTCTCGAGCAAGAAATTCCAGCTTGGTGAGGAGGCAATCCAGGGTTGTATCAAATCCTAGGGTGGACATTCGGTTCGATAAACCCGAATCGAACTGGAGTGAAACTAAAAAAAAATCGAACCGAAGCCAACTAGTGTTGTTCGGTTCGGAATTCAGAAGAGAAATGTGGTTATTTCAGAAACTAGGATAATTTTGACCAAACCAAAGGTTCAAATTCCGAACCGAACACCATAATATGGCCACAACAGCCCAACCCTAAGCCAACCTCTTACCCACAGCCCACTAAAACCCTAGCCCAGCCTATACAAAACCTAG